TACGTATGTTGAAGATTTATCGAGCGATTCTCTTTTCCAGTTAGAAAAAAAACTGAAGTTGGGCGCAACGTATTTGTGTTCTTTAGCACAGCACCAAGCAATCAATATTCCAGCTATATGTCAGCGGTCTGTAAATAGTCCAGTCTGGACCAGACAATCCATTGATCATTTGGCGCAAAGATGTGTAAGCGTGAACAATGCATTTCTGGGGCTGTTTCAGGAAACAATATGCGTGTTCGCATGCGTGTGTGCGTGCGGGTGTCACAGACGAATAAGACTTCGTGGTATCTTATTAATCTGAGGTAAAGACAATCCTGGCACGTTCCACGAATAGTTTTTGTGTTTTCTATGAACACGTTAGAAGTACCCGGAAGTAAAGCGAATCGGGGTGAATTCAGACATCAAACGGTGTTTACAAGAATTCCACGAAACGACAATTGGAGAGGGATGGGATTAGATTTGTTTTGTCACTATTCTCAAGAAACTATTCGCGAGGAAATTCAACAACCCGTGAAGATCCGGGTTAGATGGTCTTCAGTAACACGTGCCTGTCGTAAGAGGCCACTAACGGGATCGGGTAGTCAGACTCACTGACTTGGATGACACATGTCATCGTATCCCAATTTAGTAGATGAATGCTTATGCTGTTGATCACTGGATTGTCTGGTCCAGACTCGATGATTTACAGACCGCCACCATAAAGCCAGAATATTGCTGAGTGTGGCGTTAAAGCTTAGATGCAACCAACAAAACAAACATAATTAAAACACAATTATCATTTATTCATGACACATAATATACATTGCTGATTATGAAAAACAAATAAACAAAGTTATAAGCGTACAATCGCAAATCAAAAGTGTGTTTAATGCCATGATATATGGTATTCTTTTTAGACAGACAGATTCTTTTAAATTCGAGGCCATCAATATTTTATAGTGCCTTCTATGAGAGCATGCAATTGCACATTCTTTTAGTTGCACCGTATATATTAATATAAGGAAGAAAAATCGGCAACACTAAATATAAAAAGTAACTTGATACATGAAATAACAATACATAGTGCCTTGAGATCGTAGTATATATATGGAGCTGCCCCACATTGTCCGCTTGACTGAATATACCTGTCCAAATGAACAGCATACCTGTCACAATCAGCGTGACGGGCAAACCACACACCTGTAAAAACTGGCAGTGCTCTATACAGGTAAGTTTTCGATTTGATTTACCTGTCAGTTGCAGTATCTGTGTACATATATGTTAATGAGGAGATTGTTAATTAAACACGTGTGTGCATGTCGCTAGTCTCAACGTGTTCATGCTCGACACACCCCCGGCCTGCACATGCTGAGCTAAACGGTCAATATTTGTAAGTTTTTCATTATTCAGTGGGGCAGTGTGAGAACTGAGTAGGTCAAGTCAGGGATATATTTGACACACGAGTCACCGTCCTCAATCACGATAAAACACGTGGTACTATATAGGCTACGTAACTGAGGCTTATAGTACGGATGTACTTGTCTGCGATTCAATGACATTATGGTGCTTTAGCCAGCACGATGCGTTGCCTAGATACACGGTTGAGAAACTCATTACAAAGTTTGGAGTAGCGATGTCCATATGAAGAATTCATTCCAGTAAACAGTTAATTTATATACAGATTGGTTTTCACACACCGTGTGTCCCGAATGTGGGGCAAGGCGAATGTACTATGTATGTAAAAAGAGGTCAGTGTTAGCGTACAGTTTGCTTCCGTCTGTAGCTACCTTCTATCTACCGCCCTGCCTACCCAACTACCTACTCCCTTTTATCACCTTCTATCAATATGTCAAAACCCATCTACCCACCTACATCCCCGTTCAGCTTCCCATGTATCCATCTATCCACTCATATATTTGTACTTGCCTGGATAAATACCAACCTACCCATCCACCCGGCTATCCATCTACCTTCGTACCCACCTACCCTTCTACCTATCAGTGGTTTAGCTTATTGGAGAAAGCGTCCGCTCGGAACGCCGAAGACCCGGGTTGATCCCCACATGGGTATAAAATATTGTGTGAAGCCCATGTCACATGTTCCCCGCCTGATATTACTGAACATTGCTGTAGGTAACGTAAAACACTTCTGCCTATATAGTCTACTTACCCTCTCTCCCTTATACATCCACCCACCATTTACCAACCTGCCTACCCTCCTCCCTAACAACTAACGAAGATCGATGCTCATACTGTTGATCACTGGATTGTCTGGTCCAGACTCGATTATTTACAGACCGCCGCCATATAGCTGGAATATTGCTGAGTGCGGCGTAAAACTAAACTCACTCACTCACCTAATTACTAACTAACCACCATCCCATCTACCTAGCAACCTACCTACTTACCTACCCACATTACGACAATATGTTCGTGATAGGCCGTCACCAAAAACGTTATAAAGCTCAGTGAGAATTGCAAATAATGTCATGAATATATGTGCTGTAATGTGTTATAAATGAACTCTCGCTATATCACTGCATGTTATCAGAGTAAGAAACTCCCAAACATTTCAGCCAGACCACAGGGCTGGTTAGATGTAAAACTTGCCAGCCCTGACCAAAACTTACCTGCCCACAAATATCTTCATATACATGTCTAATTTTTAACCCGACCGTCGGGCGGGTGAATTTGAGAATCTGACAGTCCGTGTTGAAAATAACCCGTCCCGGGCGGTCAGGCAAGCAGGTATTTCGAACGCTTGTTGTTCTATCTGTGTTATATGAAAGTACATCACTGTAATATGTCTTCCCACAATTGATTATGTCAAATATTTGATACTGAAAGTGAAAAGTCGAATATCGGTCTGCCCTGTAATGTCATTAGGTAAATAATACAACACACAACAGTCAATTATTACTACCCCAAGTAACTGGTTCCACTGTTAGTACGCTCAGCGCTTTCAGCTAAGAGTACCCGCAAAACCTTTATATACTATTAGAAAAGTATGAGTTATTCAATTTTTTGGGTGATATTGTTTGGTAATCAAGGTGCATGACTGTACATAAAATTTTGAAAAACATTATTTCAGTCTCAACGTGTAATGAATTTCGAACAAACACGTTATTTCATGCAAGCAATTTTCATAGAGTGTACCAAGTCAAAACATTGATTACACAACAGTCTTGTTTCCTGTCGACTGGGTTCTGTCCTATTGCGCAACTTAGTACAATAACCAGTCCTGAATTTTGAGACCAATTCATTTAACTGGATACATACATATTAATCAGTATTATTTGATACATCTAAGCACTTGTATATGGCACACTACTCTCCTTATAATCCTTGCAAAAATGTCGTTCAGCGTGCCCTGTCGTATAGCGAGCATTGACAAACAGAAACCTTGAAATCGTGAAATTCTCAAAACGAGGCTCTGCCGCGCTAGAACAGTTTGGGCGGTCTGGTACGGACTTGATATTATATCAATCACATTGTGTGTTACAGAACTACACTGAATAAGCGCACAAAAACACATAACAGGTGTAACCAGTGAGCCAGATGAATTGTGAATCATTTTACGGCCTCATCAAACTGGGGCAGTCTGTGACGTCTTAGTTAAGATCATGCTGCCTACACCTCGCCATAAAATATAGAAATACGATGTTATTAAAGTTTAAAATTGAAATTCATTCAATTCTTATGAAACAGGAAATTGGAATAAAGTGTAACCATAGTTGTTTGTGATGTCTATTTTCACTTTCACAAGAGAAAATTCGGATCGGCTGAAAAGTAGGTCATTGTCTGAATAGGTTAATGAGACTCATGTTTCGGTTTGTAAACATGGACGGGGTAAACTTCGAAATTTACAGTGAACCGTGTAGCTGTACATTTCAGTGATCAAGGGCGGTGGATTATCCTGTGGTTAAAGCGTTCGCTCGTCAAGCCGAAGATCCGGGTACGATTCCCCACATGGGTACTATGTGTGAAGCTCATTTCTGGCGTTCACCGATGTGATATTGCTGGAATATTGCTAAAAGCGGTGTAAAACTAAAACTCACTCATTCACTCTGCGATCAGAACGCCTGTGTTACGAAATCGTGGTCAAAGTGCCTCTCCTGTAAGTGATGAGCTTACAGACGATTCGTTAGTCCCTAACAACAAACGAAGATCGATGCAGACACTGGATTGTCAGGTCCAGACTCTATTATTTACAAACCGCCGCCATATACGGTGTAACTAGAATATTGCTGAGTGCGGTGTAAAACTAAACTCACTCACTCATTCGTCTTACACCTAACTAACCGCCCACCATCCCATCTACCTAACAACCTACCTACTTACCTACCCACATTACGACAATAAGTTCATGTTGGTCCGCCATCAATAATGTAATAAAGCTTAGTGTGAATTACTAATAATGGCACCAATATCTGTGCAGTAATGAGTTATAAATGTTCTCTCGTTATAACACTCCCAAACATTTCAGCCAGACCAGAGATGGTTAATTTTTAACCCGACCGTCGGGCGGGTGAATTTGAGAATCTGACAGTCCGTGTTGAAAATAACCCGTCCCGGGCGGTCAGGCAAGCAGGTATTTCGAACGCTGATTGTTCTATCTGTGTTATATGAAAGTACATCACTGTTAATATGTCTTCCCACAATTAATTATGTCAAATATTTTGAAACTGAAAGTGAAAAAGTCGTGTATGCCGGACAACTCCACTTGTGGTGTGTTTCAATTTCATACTGGCAACATGGTGTAATACCACGTGACCATGCATAATACATATAAATGGTACAGTCATCATGATTTATTCAAATGTAATCAGTTGATTTGGTTTTTTTGTGAAATGTTGATGTGGTACACAGATATAAAACATCTGTCTCAGAATTTTAAAAAATCAGGCCGAAACAACTGATATCAAGCCCGTGGCTGATATTGCAGCCCATGACGGTGTCAGTATTAGTGTTATCACACTGATAGCCTATCTACAACACTCTATCAGTCCAATCACATACGGCGTGATACATTGTTACAACAGGCACCTAGATACATACAAGTAGATGGTGTTGAGAGCTTGGAGGTAGATGCCACTGAATATAGATGCTGTACAGGTAGTTGTTGTACAAATAGATGTAGCGACGACACCGATATATACTACAGGGAGATACAGATAGATGATATAGCAATGGACAGGACGGGGACCACAGCTGGCGGTAACACTCGCTCCACCGTCATAAGGAAGAAGTCGACCCACAGGGCGCCTCCTTTGCCCAGAAATGGTAGTGTAATGAAAACTTTGAAAATTACAAATTGATACAGGGTATGTCGTTTTATTCCCTTCTCAAATGTTTATTTCATCAAGTGTCTTAACATGTGTAACATTTCTGATGGGAAGTAAATACGAGTAAGTGAAATTATTCCTCACGTCAAATTGTTACTGTTATTTCACGAGCAAAGACAATTATCTGTTTATTATGGTTCTGTCACAGTGTCTTCAGGCTGGCTGAGATCACAGCGTGACTGCTTTTAAACCTTAATATGTACATTTTATTGGGATTGTTTGTTTTTGTTTTGTTTATTATGGTTATTTCTATCCAAACGTTTCATAGTTTATTTGCTGTTTTCCACGTTTTGGCAACCCTGTTGAAGTAAAAAACCATTGTCGTGAGAGCATAAAAGTATAGGTTTCAAGATTCAGTGGGCCAGAGATAAGTGATGTCATGTGACTGCTGTTATGGTAACCGATGGCGTCACAATGATCTGTCATATTTAATTATATTTTAGCGATATATCCTGAGCTGCTCCCCGTCTCACATATCACATCTTTGACGCAAGATGACGACGGGCAGTGGGGGTCGGGAACAGCCGCACGATATTTCCGTGTAAAGTAATAATCCTGATAATCCGTTGATTTTAATCTAGCGATATCTTCTGTGGATGTCGGATTTTATGACAGAGAATTCGAAAAGCCGAACTGCAAGGAATTGTGGATTGTCCATGTCGTATGAATGAATTATTTCCCACTTGAACGCTTAAATTTGTGAGAGGAGTTACAAACCGTCAGAGGTGTCTGTAAATATAAATTAATAATAAATGGTTAGTGCATTTATATTGCGCTAAATCCACACCTACAACATGCTCACAGCGCAGACAAGATGGTATTTAGGAGTCACTTGTAAAACAAACAGAAAAGGTATGTCTTTAAGTTTGCTTTAAAACATGTGACTGTTGGGCTTGCTCTAAGATGAGCTGGTAGCTCATTCCAGTTCATGGCGGCTGCCACTTGAAATGAGCGAAAACCATAGGATTTCAACTTCCATTTTTGAATGTGAAGTAAGTTATTTGTCACTGGAGCGAAGGTGTCTGCATGGAAGATGTGGTTTGAACAATTCTTTGAGATAGGCCGGAGCTGTGCCTTGTATGCACTGTTAGACAAGGGTAAAACTTTAAAGCTCACTCTAGCTCTTATGGGCGACCAGTGTAACTGTTTTAGAATAGGGGTATTATCGGTGACGTTTTTGATTGAGTTTCTATGAAATATACACGCACAGAACGAGTGAAGAAGTAAAACACTGTCCCGATCAGATCATGGGAGCATGGTATTATCACAAATGCCGGTATGCGATTGCCATATCATGATTAGGTTAACAAGATAATGCACATGTACAGACACTATAAACAGTTGGACGGGTGTCTTCTGACACGTGATCCTGGCCCAATGCATGTTTACAGTGAAGATATAACCGCAAGTTTAATATTTATTTGATACAGTTGGCAGTGTATACTCTGGATCCTCAGTTGGCAGTGTGTACTCTGAGTCCTCAGTTGGCAGTGTGTACTCTGGGTCCTCAGTTGGCAGTGTGTACTCTGAGTCCTCAGTTGGCAGTGTGTACTCTGAGTCCTCAGTTGGCAGTGTGTACTCTGAGTCCTCAGTTGGCAGTGTGTACTCTGAGTCCTCGGCAGTGTCCTGAGTCCTCAGGTTGGCAGTCACGGTCAGTTGGCAGTCCTCAGTTGGCAGTGTGTACTCTGGAGTCCTCGGGTCAGTTGCAGTGTGTACTCGGAGTCAGGGCAGTGTGTGTACTCTGGGTCCTCAGTTGGCAGTGTGCACCCTGAGTCCTCAGTTGGCAGTGTAGTTGGCAGTGTGTACTCCTGAGTCCTCAGTTGGCAGTTGACGTCCTCTGAGTCGTCAGTTGGCAGTGTGTACCTCTGGAGTCCTCATTTGGCAGTGTACAGTTGGCAGTGTGTGTGTTGGCAGTGTGTACTCTGAGTCCCGTTGGCAGTGTACTCGGAGTACTTAGTTGGCAGTGTTTAGTTGGCAGTGTGTACAGTGTGGCACTCTGAGTCCCCAGTCAGTCTTGAGTGAATCAGTTGGCAGTGTGTACTCTGAGTCCTCAGTTGGCAGTGTGTACTCAGTCCTCAGTTGGCAGTGTGTACTGAGTCCTCAGTTGGTCTCTCAGTTGGCAGTGTGTACTCCAGAGTTGGCAGTGTACTCTCCTCAGTTGGCAGTGTGTGAGTCCCTCAGAGTCCCTCAGTTGGCAGTGTACTCTGAGTCCTCAGTTGGCAGTGTGTACTCAGTGTATTACTCTGAGTCCTCAGTTGGCAGTGTGTACTCTGAGTCCTCAGTTGGCAGTGTAGTACTGAGTCCTCAGTGGCAGTGTACTCTGTCCTCACTGGCAGTGTACCTGAGTCCTCAGTGTGTACTCTGAGTCATGTGTACTCTGGAGTCCTCAGTTGGCAGTGTGTGTCCTCTGAGTCGTCAGTTGGCAGTGTGTACTCTGAGTCCTCAGTTGGCAGTGTGTACCCTACTCTTGTCCCTCAGTTGGCAGTGTGTACTCGGAGTCCTCAGTTGGCAGTGTGTACTCTTGGAGTCCGTGTGTACAGTTGGCAGTGTGTACTCTGAGTCCTCAGTTGGCAGTGTGTACTCGGAGTCCTCAGTTGGCAGTGTGTACTCTGAGTCCTCAGTTGGCAGTGTCCAGTCTGGTGATGCATGCCTTAGGTCCTCAGTTTCTAGTGTTTTGTCTCGTAATTTCAAAGTGTTTTTTTCAATTCTATTATCATAAATGCATATCACAACTATTCTGTATTAGAAATCGTAAACAATAATTCAGAAATCTCTTTTAGAAAGTCGAGTCACCATTTGGCATGGTTTTGTCACAGGTCCTCAGTTGACAGTCCTTACACGTGTGTGTGCGTGCGTCGTGTCTGCGTGATAAAAAAAGCACCGTATGACACCAAATTCAAGTTCCATAAATATGTGGTGACACGGGCGAAGTCACTGTGAGCAGGGCGCTGTGGGGTGGTGGGGGTGGTGGTGGTGTCGCGGTGAGAACAAAAGGAAAAGGTAAACCAGTGATGATACGCGTATGCCTCGAATCTTACAATCTCACCATGACTGTGCAAAACACCCACCGGGGGTCAGTCGGAACGCCTTCATGTAAAGCGATACCTACAGCTCTGTATGCGTCACTTGCAAATACCGCTTCAGGTACAAAAATGAACGCTACAAGTCGCCCACATGGGTGGCTCTGATATGTACACGTGTTTGACATTGTCTGTTTAGGTGAACTTGTATAACACAGGATAGTGCGGGACCACATGGCTGTGTATGGAAGTCACCGTTTGTGTCGACATTCGAGGGGTGGGTTAACATGTGTGTACAACCATGAGTCGAATCATGCGTACACTTGATATTCGAATGATTATGTTGTTGTTCAAAGCCTCACTCAATAATATTTCAGTTACGAGAACGACGGTCTGTAAATAGTGGAGTCAATCCAATCATGAATTAGACAATCCAGTGATTAACATCATGAATATCGGTCTAAGCATTTGAGATACTATGACTCGTGTCAACCAAGTCAGCGAGCCTGACCGACCGATACCGTTAGTCGCCTAAACATGATGCTAAATATATGTGCTAACCCGGATCTTCGCGAAGAGCAGCGTGGGTCGTTGAGGTTAATTCTAACCCGGATCTTCATGGGGGACAAACGTGGATGGCTGTAGATCGATCTATAACCACGTATTACAGGTGTAAGAGGATGTATTACAGTATGCACTAGTCGCAAAAAGCTTTGTTTGCCTGTGTATTCGGTATACTTTCCCTGGGAAGAGATGAGGTCGGCTAGGGGAGATGGGTGTGGGTGGGTCTGGGCGTCAAACGGTTGGCTGACAGCTCAAGGCTACATCGGAACTTGAGTATTAGAGACTGTGAACAGTATACGTTCCTCTGTGGCGTGATTTGCGAGAACCGTAGACTGAGTGAGTGAGATTTTACGACGTCTTACAGCACTACCTCGCATCACACCTATCACGCCCATCTGCCTTGCATTCTTCTGATCACTGGTTCCTTGGAGATATGGAAAACTGGTTCCTGGTGCGGGGAAGCAGAATTGACGTTTGTCTACAGAAATGTGTAGCTGCTTTCATATAGCATTTAAACAGATTCATCTGTTTAACCCAGATTGAACGTTTAAGACTCGTGGAATGGCGGTGCGTGCGCAAGAAATTTGGCTCACGCATTTTATCCAAACAAACCCGGGATTTAAGTACAAGACAATCAGCCATAAAAAGATACTTGTAAACAGTTATGATTACCAACGCGCGTAGAGGGGATTCAATGGATGCTTTCTGATGGTCCGTCCGGTATCAGGCTCTGAGGTGTAGTGTAATGAGTGAGTGAGTGAGTTTAGTTTGACACCGAACTCAGCAATATTCCAGCTTTATGGCGGCGGTCTGTAAATAATCGAGTCTGGACCAGACAATCCAGTGATCAACAGCATGAGCATCGATCTGCGCAATTGGGAACCGATGACATGTGTCAACTAAGTCAGCGAGCCTGACCACCCGATCCCGTTAGTCGCCTCTTACGACAAGCATAGGTTGCTGAAGACCTATTCTACCCCGGATCTTTACGGGCCGTAGTGTAATGATAGGCGTACAGGCAGGAATAGGTGTTGTGGGTACAGTGTCTGCCCAGTCGGTGGTTCGATTCCCTGTCGTGTCATACCAAAAGACGTTAACAAAGCGATGGTACTTATTGTTACCCTGACTCCATGGGAATGTCGGAAGAGAAAAGATGTCGTGATTGTAGCTGGCCTCAACCAGCATAGGAATTAGATGATCACGTACGTTTACTTTAAAATGGCCACTTGCCCTGGATTGACAGTTGGTATGTTATGAAGCCTAGCGATACTCACACTATCGACCATTGGTTTATGTGATCCATAATTGTGGATTATACTTGAAAGAGAGTCGTATCATACTGGGTGCGTAAGCCTCATTAAGTGACAGATTGTCTTTGTGTCTTTCAGACACCAAGATGTTCGCGCCAACCACACCCAGCCGATGGAGGACTCCTAATCGAACTAACATTGCAGACGACTGGCAAGAAAACAAGACCCTGTCCGAATGCACGCTTCACATGTTAGACCACCAGGTGGCGTGTGATGTTCACTTCCGGGTCGGGCAGACGAGAGAAAAAATTAGTGCGCACAAGTTCCTGCTCATCAGCCGGTCCAGCGTCTTCTTCGCGATGTTCCAGGGGCCGCTGGCAGAAACCAATGATGAGATTGATATCCCGGATATTGACCCGGAAGTGTTCTGGGAGTTCCTCAGGTGAGGGGTCTCTTAACAGGTGCTGGTACATTAACTTAATTGACCATGACTGGTTCCTCATGGATTATGTTTTCGAACGACAGTGTTTACTCTCTCTATAACGAGACGGGTTGCGTTACACAGACATTTGATGATGGTTTGTGTATAAAATACAGTGAACTTTCATAAGTGAGTCTGAAAACAAATAGCACTAAAGAAAATTCTGGGTGTTCACATGCTAAAGAAAATCTGTTGTGTTCGATTATGGCAGGATCTTTGTGTTAAGGGTGTGACTTTGTGTGACGTAACCAGCTTTGATCTTGTCAAAGTCCACTTAATATATCCTAAAAATCATCTCTTATTATTTATGTATGATTTTATTCATTTACTTATTTCTCATGACCAAGAGAGGGTCGCTTGCAAAGAAAAACCCTGCTGAAAATATATGCATCTAAAACCTGGACTAGAGCGTATACATGGCGTCCCAATGTCTCTAATTACAGGTGGAATATATGTCTGTTTGTATCATTAACCCCTGCTTTATTCACTGTGTCGTCAGGTTCCTGTACGCTGAAGAAGTGAATCATAGTGTGAGGACTGTGATAGGACTTATCTACGCTGCCAAGAAATATGCAGTCAAGAGACTGGTCATGTCCTGTGTGAAGTTCGTTGAGAGTTACCTTACTGTTGAGAATGCTTGTGAAGTCCTGGAACAAGGCTACATCCTGGACGAGCTGGCTCATGCCATCCTCAACTTCATCACCCAGAACGCATCCAGTGTCCTAGCAACCGATGGCTTCCGGAACATATACCAACCCTGTTTGAACCAGGTCCTGAGCTCAGATAAGCTGGAAGTCGAGGAGACGAAGGTCTTACAGGCAATCCTCAACTGGGCAGATGCTCAGTGTCGAATGCAAGGAATAGAACCGACTGGTCCAAATCTGAGACAGGTGCTTGGAGATTCACTAGACTGTGTTCGCTTTCCTCTTCTGGACCCTCGGTATTTTGTAGACTCTGTGGCCACTCAGGGATTGTTCACCAAGGAAGAATGTTTCACTATGGTCCAGTGTTATGCTATTCCTGAGAGGTGGACCCAGTGTTTTAAGTTTAAGACAAAAACTAGAAACATCAAGGAGTATCACGTGTGTAGCCGATTCACCGACGTCGACGGCTCAAGAGACAGCTATGGAACAGATGCAGTCAAACTGATTTGTTTGAAAGAGATCTACCTCCATGGCTATAGTGTTTACGGCCCCTTCGATGGAAACAATTCACAGTATTCTATTAACACGGTCCTGTACGACAAGAATGATGACATCATTCATGCACAAGTCACCAACGTTGTGGACAATGCCAAATATCTGAAAGTCATGTTCAACACAAAGCTGAAACTCGATGGCAATGTCTGGTACACACTGTTGGTCAAGATTCGAGGTCCTCCAACATTTAAAGGACATAACAGCATCTCCTTTGTGAAAAACAGTGACGTTACCTTGACCTTTGCTTACTGTAAGAAAGGTACTAGAGACACGTCCGGGAAGGAGGGGCAGATTCCACAGCTGTTCTACACTCTAGTTGATGCAGAACAGGGTTGATTTCTTTGTCTAGTCAGGAGAGATACATGACAGTTGAGTGAGTGGTGCGTGAGTGATTGCGAGTGAGTTATATCCTTGTCTGTATACTTCAATCATGTTGAATGCCAGAGCCTGCGTGCAGTGTATGGGTGTCTTTGTACATGAGTGAGTGAGTGAGTGAGAGATCACTGACTGTCATATATTGACCAGTCATAACTAGTGGCCAAATGTGTGAGGCAATATTCAGTGTGAGGTCAGTCATTTATTCATACTTAGCAGCCATTTTGTCCACCAAATCCCCACTCATCACTTATGAACAACAGGAAATGGATGCCCCTTAACGTGACGAGCATCAGTTCATATTAAAGAAACGTTTGTACATTGTTATCATTGTGTGATTACAGTTACAGTATATGTTATGTTTGATGTCTTCCCACACTCTCAGATTCAGGAAATACTCAATGTCCATTCAGTGTATATATTTTATATCAAGTCAGATACTCATGTTACACTCAGGTGGCCTTTATTTCTTTGTGCTTGGTTTCATGCATGTTTTTCTTTATATTTAGGGGAAGGGAAGTTAAACATTCATGGCTAAACCTATTCAGGGGAGTTATCGGACAATAATATTTTCAAATTTCCAATTTCAAGTATGTTTGTTAATTTCATATCAAGTAGGTAAGAAACATATATAATATAAATGTAGTGATGCATACTTCAACAGATTTTGATTACAGTAGTTTTTTTTAATTTGTTTATATAGCATGCAAAACCAAATGATCTTGGGTTGTTTTTTTCCCCCATATTTCTGGCTTAATTAAAAAGAAAACAAACTGATTTTCACTTTTTACCTTTCAATTTTAATGAAAAAGAAAACAAACTGATTTTCACTTTTTACCTTTCAATATTTTTTAGCATGGTCAGTAACCAAGTAAAAAGATCATGGCCTTGTAGTCTTCATACAATAATAAAACTCAAGACAGAAAGAAGTGTTCATACTTTTAATGACATTATAACAACAAAAACATAAAAAATGCATGATATGTTTTAAATGCATTTCAAGAACTACAAATACATGTGTGTGTGGCTTTATTAATAGTGTAACAACAAACACAGTGTCCAGTGAAATTGCTTGATAATTGAGTGAGTGAGTGATTTTTTTATGCCACACTCAGCAATATTCCAGCTATATGGCAGCGGTCTAGACCAGACAATCCAGTGATCAACATCAGAAGCATCAATCTACAAAATTTGCATACGATGTGTGTCAACCAAGTCAGCGAGTCTGACCACACGATCCTATTAGTCGCCTCTTACGACAAGCATGGGTTACTGAAGATCAATTCTGACCCAGATCTTCATGGGTTTTGCTTGATAAGGAAATCTTGGTAACTGTTTAAACATTCCAAGCGGTGATCATCAGTAGTAGCACTGAGTGGCACTGTAGATCATGTATAGTTACTACAGTGTATTTGTTTAACGTACGAACAACAATATTCCATATATATGACAGCATCCTGGAAAATATTGGAACAAATCAGTGCTTGATATTAAGAGTAAAGTTTCACAGGTTACGTTGACATGCCATCAAGTCACGTGACCACCCGATCCACAAAGTCGCCTCTCACTAGGGCTGACTATCGATATAGATCATGGAGATCGATAATCGTTAAATAAATATTGATCGATTATGGAAGAATATCAGAGACATAACTTTGAGCAAAAATGCCTGAAGAAATGAATATATTTCACATCATTGGTGAGTGGTGACATGTTTTTGCATGGATTACAAAACAGCATCCTGAACTTAATTCAGAAGCAGACCATGAATAGTCCACAGTTTTCGTATCAATAATCATTATCAATGATATTTCCGATTATCGATCATTTTAGCCATCGCTACTTCTCTCCATCAGCACTGGTTGCAAGTTACCAGGGCTAACCCCACAATAATACAGAATACAGATTTACACAACAGGAGTGAGTGAGTGAGTTGGTTTGGTTTTATGCAGCTCTTAGCAATATTCCAGCAATATCATGGTGGGGGACACCAGAAATGGGCTTCCCATGTGGGGAATCAACCCCAGTCGTGACGAGCGAATGCTTTAACCACTAGGCTACCCCACCACTGCCTTACACAACAGGAACCTATTTCAGATGCACTGAGTCGGTTTCATGTTGTTCTTAACATCTTCATCAGGGTTGTCAGCGTAATGTATACACGTGACAACTGGAATTCACCTGAAAATGAGGTGAGGTGAGGTGAAATTGGGTTTTATGTCGTGCTTGAGAATATTTCGCTCATATGACGACGTGCATGTGTGTGTGTGTATGTGTATGTGTGGCTGCTTGTACTAGCCCAGACTTAAGCTGGTTTTATAGTGCTAGCCCACTGAGATACCATGCCGCAGTGAAGCATGAATACCCCACTCAGACACATTATACTGACTCCGAGCCGACCAGTCCTTGTTGTACCCATTAATGCCGAGCGCCAAGCAGGGACCAACAAGTATCATATTTTAACGTCTTTTGGTATGACGCGGTCGGGGATCGAACCCACGACCTTCCGCTCTCCGGGCGGACGCTCTAACCACTACACCACGGAGGCGGTCACCTGAAAATGACACACCTCCTCAAACGATAAACCCTGAATACAGTTACTGCAAACGTAAGTTCCACTGTGATATCCGAGATGAACGCAAATTCCAACAAGCTGTCATTCTGAACAGTTAACATTAAATGGTTGTGCAGATAGACCAAGTTTCATGCTCCGTATCTCCAGGGGTTGCATTTTGGAAACCCCAGGATCTATTCAAGTCATGATCTTAAACCAGCCCGGAGACACAGATGACCAAGGAGGAGTCTTGCCCATTTCGGTCTGATTTATCAACTTCTTAACAAGGCAGCATCCGTCAGTCCCTTTGTACACAGAATCTACATCCCTCTGTTGAGTCTGACTTCAAAGGTGAGAGGGGGATTTTATGATGCTTCATTTAGTGTAGTTTTTTTTATTCACTTCACTTGGTTACAGTTGAATATGATACATGAGCAGAGCAAAATCGTACAAATGATATATGAAAAAGCAGACAGTATAACGTATATTGCATTGGGAATATAGATTAAACAATTGAAATGCTACATAGTAATACAGCGAATGTAAAAGACTAAAATTTAAGTTACTGGCTAACTATTCTCGAAATGTTCGTAGCCCTACGAACATCTGAAGCCCATTCTTAACACATTGTCTACGATCAAAGTTAAGAATTCTTAGGGCTACGAACGTTTCGAGAATAAGGGCCGCGGACTACATCTAGGACCATTTTCTGTAAAATGTTTTTCGGTCATCGATGAATTTCTCAATTTCATAAACATCCTTTAATAATGCTAGGTTTTTGTCCTTTTATATTCATTACAAAAATGTGGCGCTTTGCTAATAATATCATGTGGTTACCACTACAACAGAATAGAATATCATGGTTTGACATTTTACACGTTTTACCAAGGACTTGAGTAACAAAACTATTAAAATCTGTCCAGAACATTTTGATGATTGCACAATCAAGATATACATGGTAAATATGCTTCATTTAGTTGGTATTGTGCAAATCTGTTAAGAGCAATCTCCCTAGACTAACATCTAGTCTCTGAAATGAACATATTTTACAGAAGAAAACTGTTCATAAGGCCAAACCAATTATATTTCTTGTTTTACGGATCCGCATAATTTTTTTTCAAGAATAAGAAAAAAATAAAAATGAATTTTCCCTGCTCAAAAAATAAAATCCTAATGTTTTTATGGGCCAAAATGTAAACTTTATTTAGATTGTTTTTTGCCCCAAATACACTTCTTAAATTGCCAAAAGTAAAATAATTTAAGTATCTAAAGGGAATATTACTTTGATTAGGTATTTTTTTTTTTCACTCCTGCATTTAGGTTTCCTGAGGTCAAAAATCTGTAAAACAAGAAATGAAATTGGTCCGGCCTAAACAATAATAATAAAATATAATGAAAAGGAGCCAAGATTCTTTCTAGACTTGCCACATATTCTAGACTTGCATGGGTTTCTTGGATATATTTGTTTCAGGGTCTGTATTACAGATTATCATCTCCTATAAAGAACCAATTCTTTGACACCAGAAATATTACCAAACAAACCCCACTGTGAAGCCTTGGATCACAATGTCGGACATTCCTTCATTCAAACCTCGAGCCTTGAATAGCTGCAAAATTGGTGATGCGGCTTAAAGCAACATTTACTCACTCACTCATTGAAACCTGCAAATTCTGCATGTCTAAAGATGCAGCTACACAGAACCGAACAGGACCCACGGGCAACTGGTGCCCCCTTTAAATAATCTATCACAAACAACAAGGGAATCATTGGCTATCTCACATGTTCAAGCATTCATTTCAGTTTCAGTTTCAAATCAGGTCAGACATGAGAGAGTGAGTATGGTTTTATGCTGCTTTTAGCAATATTCCAGCAATATCACAGTGAGGGACACCAGAAATGGGCTTCACACATTGTACCCATGTGGGGAATCGAACCCAGGTCTTCGACGTGTGACAAATGAACTTTTTAACCACTGGGCTACCCCACCGCCCCAGGTCATACATGATGAAAACTGTGAACAGTATCGCCGTTACATGAGGGTGTATCAGCTTGATGTGGAGTGAGTGAGTGAGTGAGTATAGTTTTACGCTGCTGGACGTGGATGGAGAGAAGGATGTGATGTACATTTAAGTTGGTGATGGTGTGACATAAACTAAGATGTAATTGTTGAAACTATCACACGTAGTTCCACCTTTCCTATCAGCCACCAACATTGTGATTTGTGATCATGTCGAAACAATTTATCATATCTTCTGGGAGTGTGACAAGGTGGAAAGCATATGGCGTGAAATGAAAAATATGGCTCAGAACTGTAGACGTAGAATTGAGTCTTACAAACACCCAGGTAATGTTTGGGATTAAAGGAAAGCATAACTATGCATTAAATGCGATAATTATTTTAGTCAAGAATATCATATATAACTGTAGTAAGAAAAGTTTCATTCCAAATATTTCACACTTCAAGAGACAAATCATACAGTATTATAATACCACAAAATATGTATACATTAATCTTGACCAGGAACACTACTTCCTAAAACTATGGTCTAGTTTACACATGCTATTTAGAACCGTTGACTAAGTAAATTATCTTGTTGGAAAATAAAAAAACCCAAAAACATTGTGATTTGTCAAGCATTGTAAAAAAATAGCTTATGCAAGACATGCATTTTTGAAGGCATTTTTGAAGTTTGGAAGTACAATATTGAACAAACTTTATGGATAACAACTTTTGTTTATGGATAACAACTTCTTTTATTTTGTAAATGTGACGTTTTGATACAGATTCTTGTAGCGTTGTCAAGCAGTAAGAACATTTCATTAGAACATCACATTTACGCAGATGATTCACAACTCATGAAACACTTCAACATTCTGCTTGAGAGTCAGTTGGCTGCTCAAATTACCATGGAATCATGTTAAGACAATGTGAAATCTTGGATGAACTCAAACCTATTGCCACTAAATGATGAGAAAACAGAAACAATCATATTTGGCTCCTCATCAAAACTCAAACAATGTCCCATCGAAGACCTGCAAATTGGCCAGTCCGTGATCCAGTTCTCTCCAGCAGTTAAGAACCCTGGAGTATACATTGATTCCAACCTCAGCATGGAAACTCAAGTATCTCAGATTTGTAATACTTGCAACATGCACTTGCGAAACATCAGTGTGATACAACATCTTCTTACAAGAAGTGCCTCTGAAGCCCTTGTGAGGTCACTAATATTCTCTCGCTTGGACTACTGCAACAGTCTACTTGCAGGACAGCAGACAGCAGCTCGAGAGGCTACAGAAAATTCAAAACAAATCAGCCAGAATGACAACTAGGAGTAAACACCGCTCACACATAAATACGTGTGTTGAA